TAGCCTAACATGGATAAAATAAAAGAACAATAAAAGTAATAAATAGAAGATATCACCAAAGAACTAGAAGTTAAAGCTTGAATCTTGAAGTGAAACCCTTGTTCTAGCCTTTGTCCTTGCTCTTCAATGGTGTTTTTCTCTCTAAGAATGCATAACCCTAATTCTAGACGAGTTTTTAGGTTAAATAAGGTCTCCAAATATCCCTTCATAAGTGATTGGATCAAAGAAGAAAACAAAAATTTCTCGCGCCCAGAACAAGCCATGCGATCGCAAGGTAGTCCCCCATGCGATCGCATGGAACAATACCTTGCGATCGCATGGAACAACTCAAGTGCACCAAAATCCTCCCTGTTGAAGGCTGGGCGACCGCATGGTTTTTATACCATGCGATTGCATGGTTTATCCTCTAGACTGCTTTCGATATTTTGGTCATATCTTTTTCTCCCGATATCCGATTGGAGTGATTCAAAATGTGTTGAAAAGCTTACTTAAAGGCTACAAATCTTCTAGAAGTATCAATCTTCAAATTCGAACGTCTTCTATGTCCAAAATGGGTCTCAAACTAAGACTGAAAAGTCAAAGAATAACTTTTTTGGCTGGAAATTGATTTGTGCTAGTATTTCGACTCTATTTCATCCATTTGACTTCTTTCCTCATCCAATTGGTACCTAACACTCTCAAATCTCCATCGTGGGATCGACACAACTTTTCAGTATTTGCAATTGAGTCCTCAAACTTTGCTTTTGCTTCACTTAAACCATTTTTCGCTTGTTTTTTCGAATTTTCGCCACGTTCATCATTATAGTCCTACAAACACAATTTATGTCGAATTAAGCCATATTCAAGCATTTATGCCAACAATTAGTTATATAATGTAGCTAAATACACGTTAGAAAACGCACTTATCAATTACATTAATCTTTATTTCTCCCTCTATAAATCTCTCTTTGCTAGATTAGTCTTTGGATTTTCAATCAACGAAATGATTGCAAATTCACTCCCCTGTATACGTTACCGATGAACTCTACACAGTGTAGAAAAATATTGATATTGCCGTTCTTAAATTAATTGAGAGCTGGGCATAGTTTGATGTCACTTAAACCTTGTTTGGTACTCTATTTTCTCAAATTTATTTTCAACCGCATATTCTCTTAGGGTGCGTTTGGTTGTGAGCATTGAAAGAAAATAAATTCTAGAAAAATCAATTGCCTAAAACTTATTTGCATGAAAATTATTAATATTATACTTGTTCATTTTTTTATGATGAGTAGATGAGAGAAAGACGATAGATGAGAGACAGAAAGAGATAATGAATTACCTACAAAATAAAAATAACCTATTTTTAAAGAAAATATTTTCCTTGTTTTTAAGGAAAATATGGTCACATATAAAAAAGTTGAAAAATATTTTTCATGAAAAAAATTGTCAATTAAACACTTCAAAAGTAGGGATTCAGGTAAAAAAATGACATTTTTTATGAAAAATAAAGTTAACAAACTCTTCATAAAATAATTTTGTAAATGAATATATAACTTTTCTTTCTGTCAGAAAGGTCAATTTTCACGAAAAAACTATTCTAAAAAACTTTACTCGTATCATTTTCTTTTTGAATGGTCAAAATTGCCAAGTTTTCCATTCCATTCATTGACCCAAGACTTTGACAATACAAGCATGACTGCTAATATGTATTCGAAGTAGTGAAGTTTCGGGGAAAAAGTGATATTTGACTAGTAGAAACTTGTCCCATTCTACAAGTGATTAATATTTGCAAGTTACTTGCTCTCTGTACTCCGTTTTCAAAGGACGAATATCGTAAAGAACAATAGTAAAAAAAGATATATTTTTTAATATTAGTATTTTTTGAAAAAAAAAAAATTCATAGTATATCCTGCCCCACAAGATTACAATCCTTGCTACACATTTTCGGTAGACTTTGGAAGTAAAGCAACTAAGCAAAATTGGGACAACACAGTCAACAAAATTAACGAGTATTTCTATAGTAAGGGTCCGTTTGATTGCAATGGTAGAAAATAGGTGGAAAGAAATGAATTTTAGGGAAAGTAATTGCTTGGAAAATGAATTTCAGGAAATTGCTAATTAAGTGTGTTTGATTAGTATAATTTTTCATCCGGAAAATTTTTAAATTTTGTGTTAGTTTGTCCTTCGTTTACACCAAAATTGTCCATTAAAGTGAAATTTTTTTTCACATTTGGTTATAAAATTTGTTTTCATTGCCAAAAAGTAAAAAAAAAAAAAAAGTAAAAAAAAATGTTTCCTAAAAAATCTTTTTTTTTACCAAAATTTAGAGTTCGTTTGACCTTTGTTTGTATCAAAATTGTCTATGAAAGTGACATTTTTTTTTTACACTTGATTATTAAATTTGTTTCCATTGCAAAAAAAAAAATAAAAAATATATATATAGCAGCACATGGAATTCATTTTTCCACCTTAAATTCAGGCGTGATTGTCTTGCCAAGAAAATGTTTGGCCTAGAAAATCTTGCCTATCAAATAACACATTTTGTGAGAAAATGAAAATTTTTTCCAACTTCCAAGAAAAGTCAAGGCTATCAAACATAGCCTAACTTATATTTGCCTCATTGATTGCTTCAATCCAGGCCACAGTGGGATTAGATGTTATTAAGCATGTGGCAAACAAAGAGGCACAGAGGTACAGGGAGAAGCTTGTGTTTCTCCCTATGTATTCTTTTGTGGTTCATGGAAGGAAGATTATGTACGGGGAGTGACAAACTTTCAGAGGGCGATTCTCTTTCAGGCAATGACACAATAATATCCGAAAAGGGCACTTTTGAAATGGGATTTTTCTCCAAAAAAACAGGTACTTCTGATAATCTGTATCTAGGCATATGGTACAAGGATTTTGAAGAAAAAACCATAGTTTGGATAGCAAATAGAAGAACACCTCTGCGTAATATGCCTAGTTCGAAACTTGTAATCTCTGGAAATGGTATAGTTTTGTTTGATGAGTTTGATATGGTATGGTCTTCACGTATGAGTTCATTATATCTAGCTTCTGTTGAAGCAGTGCTTCTTGATAGTGGTGATTTAGTTGTAAGAGATGTCTCGAAGCCGTCTGTCATATTCTGGCAGAGTTTTGATCATCCAACTGATACATGGCTACCGGGAGCAAAACTCGGGTTCCATAAGGTTAATAACATAAGGCAGAATCTCACATCGTGGAAAAATGCAGATGATCCTTCTTCTGGTATATTCTCAGTGGGGTTATCCACAGTTGAAACTGGTGGATACATTTTGAAGTGGAATATGTCTTATAATTATTGGGGGAGTGGACACTGGGATGGAACGAGATTTGGTTCAGTACCTGAAATGAACTATATCACCAAATTTAACCTTGTATCCAATGAAAATGAAAGCTATTACACTTATGACGTTGTTAATCCTAGTGTTCTAACAATGTTTAGGATAATGCCATCCGGAATGTTTCAGCAGTTTACATCTTTAAAATCCCCCAATAATTGGAGTGTAATCTTAGTTCAACCTCGAAATCAATGTGATATTTTTGCATCTTGTGGAGCATTTGGCATATTCCGCGAGAACCCTTCAACAACCTGCTCGTGTTTGGATGGTTTTTCCCCAATATCTGCTGAAGCAACGCATCGAAATGATTGGTTTGGTGGCTGTGAAAGAAAAAACCGTCTGCAGTGTGAAAATAGTACTTTAGGGAAAGGAAAAAAAGACGGGTATTTGAACATTTCAAACATTAAATTGCCTGCTAACTCTAAAGTATATCATGCTCAGAATGACAAACAATGTAAATCAGCCTGCACGCAGAATTGCACCTGCACTGCTTATGCATTCAATGCTAGCGGGTGCTTCATCTGGGAAGGAGCTTTATATGATGTACGTCAACTTTCAAACCATGACTACACTAAACAAGATCTGTACCTGAAAGTTTCCAACTCCGATCTTCCTGATACTCCAGGTTGGTGCTAATCAATCGTCACACAATAAATCTCTCATAATATCTGAATCTGCAGTTTATTTTTTCACTCGGTCAATTATATAATTTCTCGTTTATTCATTCAGGAAAAAGAAAGTTATTGGAGGTGGTAGTGGCAGTGCTGGTTCCATTGGTTGTACTTTTTTCAGGAGGCTTTATAGGATGCTTTTACACAAGGAAGATCAAACAAAAAGGTCTACCTTATAAATTGATCCTAATTGATTATAATTCACTATCTGGAATGAGAATATTAATCTACGATTGTCATTCTATGACAAACAGGGAATAAGAGCTCAGGACAGGATTTATTGTCATTTGATTTTAACTATAGCGATAATAGAACATATGATGTAACAAATAGGCTAGAGGCAGGTAAAGAGGACTTCAATTTGCCAATGTTTAGTTATGCAAGTGTTTCTAAAGCGACAGATGACTTCTCAGTAGAGACTAAGCTTGGAGAGGGAGGATTTGGACCAGTTTACAAGGTAACATTACGAGCTATGTTACCCGTATGGAAAGTATGGATTAGAGTTAAATTGTCTTTCTAATAATTCGTTTTCCTTTTGTTTTGATTGTCGACAGGGAAAATTAATAAATGGCCAAGAAATAGCCGTGAAGAGGCTTTCCCAAAGATCTGCACAAGGGTTCGTGGAATTTAGAAACGAGATTGAATTAATTGCTAAACTGCAGCATCGGAATCTTGTTAGACTGTTAGGTTTCTGTGTTGATCAAGATGAGAACATACTGATCTACGAGTACCTGCCTAATAAAAGTCTGGATTTCTTCCTATTTGGTTAGTTTTATTTCATCAGTTTCTACTTACAATTCAGATGACCCAAGGTCGTTTTAGACAAAATACCTGTCAGTGGTTTTGGTCTAAAACGACCCTTAGTCATTAGACAATTCTGATTGGTCAAAAGACTTGAGCAGATTTGAAGAAACAAAAGATTCTAGAGTGGGCAACACGAGTTCGTATCATTGAAGGGATTGCTCAAGGACTTGTTTATTTACATGAATATTCAAGGTTGCGTATTGTTCATCGAGATTTGAAGGCCAGCAACATCTTATTAGACAATGAAATGAACCCGAAGATATCAGATTTTGGCATGGCACGTATGTTTGGTGGCAACAATTCGCAGGCTAATACACAGAGAATTGTTGGAACATAGTAAGCACAATTTAACATTTCACAATTAATTGCAAGCGTAAGTTATTCTTTGCGATAATTTTCATCATGAATGGGTTCTGTTTCATGTTAATTAGTGGTTATATGGCTCCTGAGTACGCAATTGAAGGCCTTTTCTCCATCAAGTCCGACGTGTTCAGTTTTGGAGTATTGGTTCTTGAAATTGTAAGTGGCAAGAAGAACACTGGTTTTTATCAGAAAGACTCCCTCAATCTTCTTGGACATGTAAGTACCTACTTCATATTTTCTTTCTTGTGTTTTAAAGTTTCACTGTTTGTTTGAAATATAGAAATATGTCATGACACTAGCAAGAATGAACCGTGTTATCAGCATACAAACACAAAGGAAATGTGACGCATGTTGAAAATGGATCATATCGTGAATATGCTTATTATTGGAATGTGTGAAGCTTAATCATACTTTACACTTTGTACTCCAGTCCAAATCGACCTATATTATGGGTATACATGTCTTCTGTTCCATTATAGGGAAAACCTTCCTGCATCGAATGGGCGTACTCAACTCTCATTTTGAGGGCGAATCACTACAAATCTTTATATAATTTGCTTATTTTCTTATAGCTTTTTCATTTATTATTGCTATAGGGACTATGACTTGGACCGTTAGACTTACGTGATGGTTAAATTTTACAGACATGGGAATTATGGACTTCAAATAGAGGAGTGAAACTATTGGACCCTGCACTCGGTTCTCCAAAGCCTTCATTGTTAAGATACATTAACTTGGGACTTCTGTGTGTCCAAGAAAATCCAAATGATCGACCTACAATGTCAACTGTTATTTCCATGCTCACCAATGAAGTTGCACCTTTGCCGGCACCCAAGCAGCCGGCATTTGCTTTCAGTCAAAGTTTGATGAACACGGCCTCGACATCTAATAGTACTGGTGGAAGTTATTCTGTCAATGGCTTGACTGTTTCAATGGTTGAACCCAGATAAAAGGTGCAACGAATAGCTAGCGATTGAATATTCATCTTTGTTTGACACTGTGTTCTAGTAATGCAGAAGTTGGGATTCTGTAATTCTTTATACACGCAGAACTAAAAATATCAAAACGTTGTAAACTCGATAAAGGCATACGTTTGGAATTTGCATTTCGAAATTCAGGCTGTTGTAATGGAATCTCCTTTGCTTTCAAGGCACCGGAATTAAAGCATTCTGCAATGTCCATATCTTTAATCCGTCTTCGACTTTGTGCTAAAATGGCCATTGCTATGAATCCAAATGCCTTGACTGCATTCATGGCAATGGATGTATGTATTAGCAACAATTCTTTCAGAACACCAATTTTGTCTGCCACATGAATTGGATTTCTTCCGTATCCATCACAAGCAAAACAGATTCACGGATTGATAAAAACCAATGCTTTCACAATTTCGACATTTCCCTTGGCTGATACTAAATACAGAGGTGATGAACTTTGAGAATCTAACTCCTCAGCTCAAGTCTTTTTGCTACAGAAGAGCGAATCTCGTCTTTGATGATATTTGCGTGATTCGAGGATACGAAAATATTTTGGCGTACTTTTGTATTAATTTATTATAGTTTAAAATATGATCGGCAAACAAGGTCATGTTTTGCTCCATTTTTTCAAAAAAACATTTGTTCAAAATTCATTTTCAACCACACATTCTCTCATAAAATAATTTTACAAACAAACTCAAAACCTCTTTTTTTTTTTAACCGCTTACTTAAAAAAAATCATTATTTCAATATGTTGGAATATATCACAGCACCAGCACGTTCAACAGATTCTCTTCTCCAGCAATGCTTCTCTCCAGCTCATCAGAAGCTCATCAGATCTGTTCCACATCAGCTTCTTATTCACGTGTTCCAGCTCTTCAATTCTAGATCCTTCTTATTGTAGTTAGTTTGTTAGATTTACTCTATGAATAGAGCATTGTATTCACCTTTACAATTGAGCTTGATGAATAATAAGTGTTCTACGTCTTCTTCATCGGTTCCTTCAATATGAATTTCATATTGAATCTGTCTTCATTTTATTTNTCTATAATTAGAGATGTGTAATCACCTTTATACTTGGGCATTTGATGAATAATAAAATCCTTCTTCATCATGTTCCTTCAATGTGTTCATCACATTGAATTTATCTTTTCATTTTCTGTTCTTGCTTTACACTAGCTTCTATTTCATTTTCGTTCCTTGTTATTTCAGTTTCATTACTTTAGTTTTTCTACACAATACACATTTTTCCCCGAAATGGGGCTCAAACATGGGTAATTATATCTAAAACATGCTACATGTGAAATTTCGTATGACAATCATCACAGTGGGGGATTTATGCGGCTGCTCATTTAATTTTTCCCTTTATAAATTTATTTTTACATGTAAAAAATGTTTTTATGTGGATTTTTTTTAGTCCAATTTTTTTTTTGATGACACTTTTTTAGTCCAATTCTAAAGTAATGGCAAATTTGTATATGGTGGAATTAGTGGAGATTGGCCTAGTAACCCGGCCCATTTTTTACAATTGCCTAAGGACGTGTTCGGTAGAGATTAAAATCGGATTAAAATTGAAAAACTAGTCGTTATTATTGAATTTTATTAGACGAGTGAGACCCAATAACGACTATATTTTTAATTTTAATTGGATTTTAATCACTCTCAAACATGCCCTTAGGCTCTTTTGAAATGGAAGGTATTTGTCTTTTTACACAAAAAAAGGTCTCTTATCATTTTATGTTTCTCATGTTTGGTATCCATTGTTTTAAAACTCATTTTGCTTCGTGATCATTTTCAATTACAGGTTCATAAAATAAAATATTTTGCACATAAACATGTAGTTTTTTCTTATTTATTTATTAAACACACATTCTCTTGAAAATACTATTCAAAATTCTTTTTTTTTTTTTTGATGAAATAATGGATACCTTGCAGGGGCTTAAAGTTAGATTTATTTCCCCAATAATAATTCAATTGTGCTACATTTAAAGCTTGTTTGGGAAGGATTAAAATCAAATTAAAATTGAAAATATAGTCGTTATTGAGTCCCACTCGTCTAATAAAAGTCAACTCCAACAGCTATATTTTCAATTTTAATCTGATTTTAATCCCTCCCAAACAAGCTCTTAGATCAAAATTTACGGATTAATTTATCAGCAATGATCTAACGAGATTTGACTGGATCAAAATTTCATCAATCAAATAAAAAAAATCCCTTCATTTCTTGTATGACACCTCAATCCATATATAATAAAAGTGGTAATTGGGGCAAATGGTCTATTTCATAATATAGTTTGGGATTTTAGCCTTTGACCACAATTAATGATTTAAAATAAATATTTTAATTCAAAATTAATAGATTACCTAAATTACCCATATTACATCACAGTGAATTCTTCTACTTTCATACACAATTTAAAACCAACAGTAAAATGACATACTGCCGTTTTAAACGACTGAATGCCGTTTTAACTAATTATATGTTTGTATCAATTTATATTTCCTCGTATCCACATAAAAATTAATGAAAACAAGTTTTAACAATATTTTGAGCGAAATTGAAAATTCGTGACCCAAAACGACATGTTGTCGTTACAAACGGTTCGATGACGTTTTAACTAATCTAGCATTCGTTTCACTTTATATTGTCTCGTACCCACATAAAAATAAGCGTAAACAAGTTTTCACGATATTTAGAGTGACATCGAGACCTCGTAACCCAAAATGTCAAGCTGCCATTTTAAATGTTTTGCTGTCATTTCAACTAATTTCATATCTGTTTCACTTTATTTGCACTCGTTTGCACAAACAAAAGCAAGTTTCATTACATTTGGACATCAATGTCTATACAAATTTCACGCGATAACGACCAACACCGTTGTTTTGTGAGTAAACTACAGTATACTTGCTACGAATAAAGGCAAGTAACCCAAATTCCATATATTCCAATTATAGGATAAAATATTCAACAAATTAGCTTGTTTAACTTGTATAAGTCTTCCAGATGGTTCAAGATTTTATTGATTTTTTTGGGAGTGAATCAAGGTCCTGTGATTAGGGGCGGAGTTAGATCATGAAAGTAAGGGGGCCTAGAGGTATAGGTGAAGGGGTTGGGGTTTACGGGGGTTCGGCGGCAGCGCCTCCGAAATTTTTTTTTTGATACGTTATTAACAAAAAATCAAGAAACGTATAAAAGAAAGTACTAATATTTAATTTAGCAAAATCATACCTTATTACAAGCGTTCCCTTCGAGCCTGGTATCCAAAACATAGCACGTTTAGTCGTTCAATGTGTACGAGTCTGGTATCCAAAACATAGCACGATTGCATGTGTTATGTTGTGTATACCATATTTGTTACATTTTTCTTGGTGGTTAAGTGTAGTATAATTTCCAATCGGATGTATGATGTGACTCGCTATAGTTTGAACTTTGAGTGGACTGTGACGTTTAAATCTAGTCATGTGAAAACGAGCGAGAATGAAGTGAAACGAACACGAAATTAGCAAAAATGATATGCATACGTTTAAAATGACTACATGCCATTTTGGGTCACGGGCTCTCAATTTTTCTTCGCCAGTAAAAACAATGTTTGGAACATCATAGATAAGTTGTACATATTGAACGATTGCACATGCTATGTTTTGTATACATTTTCCTTGGTGTCAAGTGTAGTGTAATCTCCAGTCGGACGTATGATGTGACTCACTATAGTGATCAAATGCCGTTTAGGGTCACGGGAAATTGATTTCACTCCGAAACTAGCAAAACAGTATTTGAAACATCACACATGACTAGTACATATATAGTTAAAACTTTCTACCCTAAAATTTAATGTGGTTAGAGCGTGAATGAATCGAAACGAACACTAAATGAGTAAAAGCGTCAGAAATACGTTTAAAATGATCGGATGTCGTTTTGGGTCTCAGGGTCTGGATTTCACTCAAAAACTAGTCGATCATGGTTTGAAACATCTTAGAAGACTTGTACATGTTGAATTAGCTAATTTGTCGAGTATCTTATCTCACAATTAGAATATAATAGAATTTGTATTACTTACGTTTATTCATAGTGAAGTAGAGTATAAATAACTTACAGAACGATAGTGTTGGTTATTATCGGATGAACTTTGTAACTAACGTGTTGTTCAAATACGGTAAAAATTTGAATTCATTTAATTTTTATATAAATATAAGTGAATATAAAGTGAAATTAATACAAAACTAGTTGAAATGGCAACTGGCCATTTAAAATGTTAGCATGTCATTTTGGGTCACAGGGTCTCGATTTCACTTTAAAACCATTCGATCATATTTTTGAACATCTTAAAAGATTTGTATAAGTTAAACAAACTAATTTTTTGAGTATCTTATCTATAATCGAAGTATAATAGAATTTAAGATACTTACCTTCATTCATAGTGAAGACTAGTATAGTTTATTCATGGAAAATGTTGTTGATCACTATCGGGTGAACTTTTTTTTTATCGATCTTGGATGTTTAATGTTACTTATCGATTTTACTCTAAATGTAATGAAATTTTTTCTACTTTCATTTTCATGTGGGTACGAAAGAATATAGAGTGAAACAAATACAAAATTAGCTAAAACGTTATCAAATCATTTATAACGATGGCATGCCATTTCGGTTACGAACTGTAAATTTCACTCCAGATGTAGTAAAACATATTTTTCAATAATTCTCATATGGATACGAGGGAATTTAAAGCGAAATGAATACAAAATTTGTTAAAATGACACTTAGTCGTTTAAAAAGGCATGTCGAACAATTATATATTTTTTGTTTTGCAAACCCTAAACCCTGAAATCTAAACCCTAAACGGCAACCCTCCCTTTAAAATGATTAGATGCCGTTTTGGGTAAGGAGGTATCGATTTCACTCCGAAACTAGTAAAACAGTGTTTGAAATGTAGTACTGTAGTGTAGTTTCCAACCGAATTATATAGCAACTCGCTATAGTTCTGACAAATGTGTCGACCGTAACGTCGAAATGTAGTTAAAACTCTCATCCACAAACTTTCAAGTGGTTACGGGCATGAATAAATCAAAACGAGCACGAAATGAATAGAAACTTCATTGGTACGTTTAAAATGACCAGATGCCGTTTTGGGTCACGAGGTATCGATTTCACTCCGAAACTAATAAAATTGTGTTTGAAACACTATACACGACTCGTACATATTAAACGACTACACGTGCTGTGTATTTGATACCATATTTCCTACTTACGTTTTTCTTTATTGTCAAGCGTAGTGTAGTTTACTACCGGATTATGGAGTGACTTACTATAATTTGAATAAATGTGTCAACCCTAACGTCGAAA